ATGTTCAAGTACAGAGCTGTGACTCTGAAGCAGATGAAATGAGAGGAGGGGTAGGAGGTGTTGTCTAGAAATAAGTAGGAGCCACGTCCTATATGACCTTTCATTCGTGGTCAAGAGTTTGGATTTTGCATGGGGTCATTTGAGAGGTCATTGGAGGGTTCTGAGAAAAGCTGAGATAAGCTGGCTTTACTCTTGAAGGGGGCACTCTGGTAGCTGTTTGGGAAAGACTGGGGGTGGGTGAGGCGAGAGTACAAGTAAGAAGCAGAGTTGGGGAGTATTTCTGTCATCTGGGAATCCAGGTGAGTGCTAATGGTGTGGATCAGGTTGGTGGGGAGGGAGGTGGTGAAAAGTGGATTCTGGATACATCTTGAACAACAGGATTTGCTGATGGTTGAACTTTCTTGTAGGATAGAGAGGAAACAAGGTAGTCTCAAAGGTTTCTCTTCTTTAAACAGAGCAATGGGTTGAATGGAAGAACCATTTACCTAGAAGGGGAAGAGCTTTTGGGGAGGGAAGTGTGAGAAACGATGGTTCTGGTCTGTACATGTTAGATGAGAGATGCCTACTGGACATCTAGGTGGAAGCGGGGAGCAGCCTGTGAAATACAGGAGCCTGAGGTTTAGGGGAGAGATTGGAGCTACAGACATGCATTTGAGAATCATCAGAGTGTGGATAGACTGTCCCAGTGATGACGAGCTCTCCCCACCAACATACATAGATAAGGAATGGTGGCCCTTTGGTTTTAGAATTGTTTCATGTCACTTCATAAAGATCTACCCTTTTCTTTCTTTTTTTTTTTTTGCGCTATGTGGGCCTCTCACTGTTGTGGCCTCTCCCGTTGCGGAGCACAGGCTTCGGACGCGCAGGCTCAGCGGCCATGGCTCACGGGCCCAGCCGCTCTGTGGCATGTGGGATCTTCCCGGACCGGGGCACGAACCCGTGTCCACTGCATCGGCAGGCGGACTCTCAACCACTGTGCCACCAGGGAAGCCCATATTCACGGAATTGTGAAAGCATCACTGCAGTCAACTCCAGAATATTTTCATCACCCCAGAAAGAAACCCATCTCCTTTAGGCATCATCCACCCAGCCTTAGGCAACCACCGATCTGCTTTCTCTGCATTTGCCTGTTCTGGACCTTGCATATAAACAGAATCATACACTATGTGGTCTTTTGTGACTGGCTTCTTTCACTCAGCATCAAGTTTTCAGCTTCATCCGTGTTGTAGCGTGTGTCAGGACTTCATTCTTTTTTATGGCAGTCCTTTTCTTTTTTATTTGTTTAGTTTTATTGTCTATCTCCTTAGGAAGGGATGTTCCATGAGAGAGGAGATTTTGAGGCTTAAACGCGGGGAGGGGTGTGTCCCGTGCCACACAGCTCATCTGGAGCCCAACCTGAACGGGAGCCCGGGTCTCCTACTCCATGGTCGGCTCCCTGCCACCCTCGGCAGCACAATGCTTTGTGTGTCCTTGAAACCCAATCAATTACATCCGTTGATTGATTATCTCAGGCCACTGGGCAGCGTCAGAACTCGCTCAGGCCGCTTAGGAAGAGACCTACGTGCATCCCTGTTGTTTAGGGGGAAAGTTTGAGTGCCGAAGTACAAGAAGGCATTTCTTTGACATTCACAGAGCCTTGCCTTTCTTCCCTGGCGGGATCTTGAGTAACACTGTTAGCAGAATGAATAAATGTGTAGAGCTGAACTCCCCCGCGTCGGACTGTCCTGACCGACTGTGCACACACACGCAAGCAGGTCTTTCCCCGAGGCCCTGCTTCTGCTCATCGCTTGAACGCAGAGTAGAATGATGCAGTCTTATTGTTTATTTTTTTAACATCTTTATTGGAGTATAATCGCTTTACAATGGTGTGTTAGTTTCTGCTGTATAACAAAGTGAATCAGCTATACATATATATGTCCCCATATCTCCTCCCTCTTGCGTCTCCCTCCCTCCCACCCTCCCTATCCCACCCCTCTAGGTGGTCACAAAGCACCGAGCTGATCTCCCTGTGCCATGCGGCTGCTTCCCACTAGCTAGCTATTTTACATCTGGTAGTGTGTATATGTCCATGCCATTCTCTCACTTCGTCCCAGCTTACCCTTCCCCCCTGCCCCGTGTCCTCAAGCCCATTCTCTACGTCTCCATCTTTAGAATGATGCCGTCTTATTAGCACGTTCCCCACAGCCCCTGAGAACCACGTTAGTTTAACCTGGACCTGGAGCTTCAGCAGGAATTCAGCTCTGGGCTAACAGTGCTTCTGATTTGCTGGGTTGATTAGGATTTATTCCCTGGGCAAGAGCTGGGTTCATTGGCTCATTTATCCATCCTCTATTTGTTCAGCCTTCAGGGGCCCCACATAGGTGTTGGGGACACAGAGATAAAAGATATAATCCCCACTTTCTTGGAGTGCATGGGCTACAGGAGGAGGTGGGCTAGTTTAGCTGCTGTCACAAAACAGTGAAATGATCAGAGTAAGAGCAGAGCTGTGGGATGTCTGCTAGAAGTACCTGGTGTCATGAAGGGGGAAGAGTCGTCAGGAGGTGATTCCTGAGCTGCCTCCTGAAGGGAAGGTAGGTGTTAGCCAGGTGAGGAGTGGGGGCAGCTCTCAGGCTGAGGGATCAAGGCAGTGGTGGGGAGCGGGGAGGCACCACAGGTGGGTGCCAATGGCAGGCCCCCCACCATAGTGCGACCTGAGATGGGAAGGGTAGCAAGCTCAGAGGGGAAGGGTCACTTAAAGCAATAAAGAAGGATGAGGGCCAGCACAGGGAGATCAGCTCGCTGCTTTGTGACCACCTAGAGGGGTGGGATAGGGAGGGTGGGAGGGAGGGAGATGCAAGAGGGAGGAGATATGGGGACATATATATGTATAGCTGATTCACTTTGTTATACAGCAGAAACTAACGCACCATTGTAGAGCAATTATACTCCAATAAAGATGTTAAAAAAAAACAAAAATACGTCCATATAACGGAATACTATGTAGACATTAAAAATGCTGTTATAGGGCTTCCCTGGTGGCGCAGTGGTTGAGAGTCCGCCTGCCGATGCAGGGGACGCAGGTTCGTGCCCTGGTCCAGGAGGATCCCACGTGCCGCCGGGCGGCTGGGCCTGTGAGCCATGGCCGCTGGGCCTGTGCGTCTGGAGGCTGTGCTCCGCGGCGGGAGAGGCCACAGCGGTGAGAGGCCCGCATATCGCAAAAAAAAAAAAAAAAAAAATGCTGTTGTAGAAATGCCAACATGCTAACAATACATTGTTCAGGTGAAGAAAATAAGTTATAAAAAAGATATGATATATTTGAAATAAAAAGAAGCATGAGGGCAGACACCTTCCAGCTAGACTCTTCACCACATGACTTCCTGAGTCTTCTCAATCTTCGAGAATTCAGACATTTTTGCATTGTTAAATAAGAAGACTTTTCTCAGTATACTTCTCCAAAGACAATTAAAATGTCTCTTTCATAAAATTAGATATTGTTTCAAAGGTTTAAGGAAGAAACAGAGAACCGGTTTTGTAATGTTCTCTATGACACATGACATTAGTGTCATTTTATTTTTGTTCCTAAATAAGCTTTCTAAAAATACAGTCAGATCATGCTGGGCTGCAGAAATATATTCACAGTAACATAGTGAGTAATTTGAATTTGACAGCTATTTCCCAAATATTTGCTTTATATTAAAATTTTTATTATATTCAATATAATCCCTTTACATTGAGAAAATCTTATAATCAGTACCTTGAGAATTCAGTTCTTTTCCTCCCTTTATTTTCTTGTATTATTGAGGTTGAATGTCACCAGAAGTCACTGGTAAATAGATTTTTTTGGTTTGTTTGGTTTTGGTTTTTGCTCTTAAACTTTTGAGACTTTTCGTTTCTGCAGAAATAGAGAAACAGCCACAGAACCTCTCTACTAGCTTTTGTTTTCAGCTTTTTGCCCTTTTGATTTAACAGGACATGTTTAGGAAGAAATGTCCCCATGAAACTAGTGCTATGTAATTCTACTTGGAGACTCATTTTGGTAATTGTGCTATTGTGATAAAGAATCCAATCCATCCCATGTAAATTTCTATTCACCTCCTGCCCATCCCACTAAGCTGTCTTCTCTTGGAATCTTCCCCCCGCCCCACCCCATGTGTTCGAACAGGCCATTGACTACCCCCCAAAGATCTGGGGCCTCACACTGTAACTTTCAGGATGGATACTCCTAGATGTTTGGTGCCAAAAGCTAGGACTTCCTCTTCATCCCTCAGTGTCTGGAATGAGGGTCAGGTGCTTGTAGGGGCAGACAAGGCTCTTTTTCTTATACTAGTGATAGAACCCAACTCAAATCAGCTTAAACGGAACAGAAATAATCGGCTTGTATAATTGAGAAGTCCCAGGCTAGTCTCGTGGTTCAGGTAGGATCCAGGGTCTCAGTGGAGCTTGTCGGGACTCTCCCCTCCTTTTCTTGGCTGTCTCCTTTGGAATAGTGTCCAATGACTGGCATGTTCTCCCTTTATTGTTCCAAGATGGGCTCCAGGCCCATCTGCTGTCCTCTTAGCAACCCCACAAGAAAACTCAAACATTTAATTCAACGGGTATTTCTTGTGCATCTACCACGTTCCAGAAATAATCTAGACCCTGGGATTCAGCAACGAAAAAAAACAGTCAGAAAAACCCCTTAATTTACCTCTACCGATTCTCTCTTCCACAAAAGTCCTGATAAATGTCCCCAGGGATTGTGTCTTATTGGCCTGACGCAGGTCACCGGGTCACCCCTAGAATCAGTGGTGGGGTCTGACGGAAGTTGCCCCAAGGAAAATCAATGCACTGTTGCCAGCCGGCTGAAGAACGGATGCTGCTAAGTCAGTGAAACCGACAGGCGTCCACCACCACCGTGGGGCCGTACGCACTGATTGGCTGATGGGCCAGCTCGTGCTTCCGCAGCTCCCTGCGTGGAGCTTCCTGGGTTAGGTCTCTCGCGGCCCCGGGGTTGCTGACACACGCTCTCTGCCTTGACACAGCTCCAGATGAGGATGAGTGAGCGGGCCGCCTCGCTGAGCACCATGGTGCCCTTGCCTCGAAGCGCCTACTGGCAGCACATCACGCGGCAGCACAGCACGGGGCAGCTCTACCGCCTGCAAGGTGAGCGCGGGCGGACCGTGTGGGGGAGGGGAGGGCTGGCGGCAGATGGCTGGGGGGGAGGGGTGGGGAGAGGGCTCAGCTCCTCCCCTCTAATACGTGCCAGGCTGGTGAGCCCCCTTCCTCCCAGAGCCTGGCCCCTGTCGAGGGGTCTCACTCCCCAACACTTATACTGTATCACAGTGTCCTGGGGGGAATTGTTTAAAATGCAGATTCTTGGGCCCTCACCCCCAGAGATGCTAGATTTTAAGGTGTAGGGAAAGGCTGAGCAGCGTGCACTTTTAACGACCTACACGGGGTCTGGGCACGAGGTCTGGCCTGCGGTTGGGGAAATAGTCGAGCGGACTCACGTCTAGCAGCTCGGCATTCCTTGGGAGCGTGCCGCTGGCGGTGCGGACATTCGGGCCCCCCCAGGACCTCGGAGGGTGGGGCTCGGCCCCGAATGTGTTACCAAGCCCCCCGGTGATGCTCATGACTCTCAAGCCTGGGACCCACGCTCTCCTGGGAAGGGAATGGCCTGGGGGACGGGGAGTTCTGGGCTCTGGTTCTGCTGTGACTCTAAGCCAATCCTAAGAGGCCCCTTTTCCAGAGCAGTGATCTCTGGAGCAGGGTACACAATGGCCCATGGAGGGACAAGGGGGACAATTAGAAAAATGTTGAAAGATTTTCTTATCTTTTCAGATGTATCTTTGTATGTTTTATATATAAGGATACCTGTGTATATGTAACGTATAAATAAATGACTAGGCCTGTGTAGGGGGTTCTTGCTGGAGACTTTTTCACTGATGAGGTGCAAAGATCCCCAAACATGGAAGAACATCTACGGGGTGGAACCTGGTTCGTCTGCAGAAACTTGCTAAATGAATGAATGCAAGAACGAATGAATGACCACAGGAAACAATGGCCCCGGCCATAAATACCTGCTCTCTGTGCCCTGGTCACCCAGCCTTCCCTGTGGCCCTTTCTGCTAATCATCTGTCCCCCAGAGAGCTTTTCCTGGTCGTTCTCCCTGGAATTCTGTGCCTTTCCCCATCCGAGGTGACTCTTTGTCATCCCTAGGTCTTACCTCCAGGGCCCTCCCTGACTCCAGGGCAGGTCCCCCAGACTTTATCATAACTGGTGTGGAATCTCTGGTCGTGTGTACCCCTAAGATGCAGACGAGGGCACCCTCTTTTACAGCCCCACCGCAGTTTTCATTTCGTATTTAATTGTGTGGCCAATTGACTCAGGACTAGCTCTTCCAAGAAGCAGTAACACCAAGGAGGGCTGGAGACCTGTGTCTTTGTTTTTTCCTCGTTATTTTATCCCCCAGTGCCTTGCATGGAGTCCATGAATATTTGTCGAATGGCTGTATAATGTTAAGAGGGCAGCGAAGGTCCTTACATTCTAGGCTTTATGACTGTAGGCTCTGTTCACTTGTGGGGAGCCTGGCGTAGTGTAGATGCTCAAACATTATGTCCTGAGTGCCTGTAGGGGTGACAAGTGACTGCCTTGATACTTGATAAATAAGCTTGCCTTCCAAGACACAGCTACACAGAGAGGGAGGGTTGGGTTAGATCAGGTTGTTATAAATGCCATTGGTTTCATGTCAGAACAAATTCAGAAATTTTTGCAGCATTTTACTTATATCATCACAGTTTTTGTCATTTACATATCGCTTGTACCATTATTCAGTTTTCTTCCGTCTCTTCTATTTAAATATATTTATTTTTAAAAGTATATTTTTCTGTCTTTATACTGCTATACCCATTACCTATATTTTTTCTAATACACAATAAGATCAACTGTACAAATACCAATAGTAATTACTGAAGGTTTAAAAGAAGCATGTGTTATGAACATATATTCACAAAAAGCTACGGAGTTGCTTTGTAACTTGACTGTCTACACAAACCCAAATAATCTTTACAAAAAAGGTATGTCTTTTCAGATTCTGTGTGTCTGGAATGCAAAAGAAAGTTGAGAACCAAAGTGATGTAGGCTTCGTAAAGAGAAAATGGATAAATTGCTTGAATTCCTGAGAGACAGCCTGGTAATTTGAGAATAGTCAACTTGTATCAAAGTTGATGAATCACTGGATTTCCCCAGAATACCATGTTTGGAAAGATGAGAGCGAGGATATCATGAATATTTAGTATGTGTTGCAGTTTCAGAATTTATTAGCAGATATCCCAGAGTTTAAAAATCCTCAGGACAATCTGGACAGAGAAAATGTCATATGAAGAAGACGCTCACTTTACAATCCTTACTTTAACTAATCTAACTGTCTTTAACCAAAACGAGTAGGCATTCATCAGAAATGATTTAAGGCTAAGGGTCTTATCAGACCCTTTAATATTTTAAAACATCTTCTTAAGTTTAAAGCAGATGTTTTAGATACTGTTAGCGTGCGGTTTGTATGCTCCTTGGGTTTATACAACTACCTCTGACAATGTCTACATCTGTTTGCTACGAAGAAAACAACTCTGTTTTCCAGGATACAGACGTAGTTTTTTTAAACCACAATGACAAAAAACGCAGATTTACGTGCATGCAAAAAGCCCAATTATGGTTGGAAAACCATACGTAGCTGACAGGTCTGGGATGATCATCAAAGACGAGTGACCCACTAATTCCAAAGTAACAGTAGTGATAATGTTATGTTTACAAGTGGAGCAGAGCAACGCAAAACCTCACCGCAAAGGAAAAAAATCATGTTCTTTGAGAAGTTTCTGTTGTTTTTGTCAAAAATAGCAAGCCACCAACCAAACGACTCATCAGAATTGGATTTGGGTTTATTTGATAAATCTTTATCTTTAGGTTTGTTATCTATTATTTTTATAATTCAACACTCAAAAGATTCAGGCAGACCTTGGAGATATTCGGGGTTCGATTCCAGACCACCTCAAAAAGGCGAATATTGCGATAAGGCAAGTCACACAAGTTTTTTGGTTTCCCAGTGGACGCAAAAGTTATGTTTACGCTATACTGTAGTCGATTAAGTGTGCAATAAATAGCATTGTGTCTGAAAAAGATGTACGTACCTTAATTTAAAAATACTTTATCGCTAAAACATGCTAACCGTCATCTGAGCCTTCAGCAGGTCGTCGTAGTAACATCAAGATCACAGGTCACCATGACACATACAATAATAATGTACAAATTTGAAATATCGTGAGAATTACCAAAATGTGACACGGAGACACGAAGTGAGCCAATGCAGTTAGGAAAAGTGGTGCCAACGGACTTACTTGACGTAGGAGTGCCACAAATCTTCAATTAAAAATATGCGATATCTGCGAAGCATAGTTAAGTGAAGCACAATAGAACAAGGTCCTGCCTGCGTCACTGTAAACTTGAGTGCAAGTTGATTGGTATGGATTTTCCAAATGAGCACGGTAGTAATACCTACAAAACAGTCATTTGAAGATAGTGATAGCTTAGTTTCTAATGAAATAACCAACCAGTGATGAGAAAAAAATGCCACAGAATTCCCTCAGAGATGATGGATTATCAGACTTTGTGATTGATAATTTTATAGGGTTTTGAAGATGATTGTGTTCTAGGTTTTGAAGATGATAATTAAAACTATTATTGTTTGCTCTTTGTTATATAGTATGACCTTCATTGAACACAAATTTCCAATAGAATTCTTACATTATTCCTGTTTTGACTGCATACTGATACTCACTGAAATGTCCTATTATCTTGGAATATTTCTGTGCATGAGAATGGCATTGTAATTGCTTCATTTTTTTTTTTTTTTTGCTTCACATATACATTTTTTGGTACCAGTTACTTCATCAAATTATTTGTTTTCACATACTTTTGTTACCTGTGTAGGAATTAATGTAAATGTATTTTATTTTGATATTTACTTTGTACCGATGTTTACTGAGATATTTCCTCACCAGCGTGTTCTGTGTAGATTTGTCCATATTTATTTTACCTTGTGGACTGCTTTTTAGTCGCCAACATTCATTAAGATACAGTGCTAATACGTGCTGTGTATGCAGTTTGGGGGCTCAACTTACCAGTAAGTTTGATAGATTAAAAAAAATGTTCACAGACTACCTAAAATTATCTTGCTTATTCTCAGGGGTGGTCATTTACACAACAAATAAATGGGATAAGTTCATCTATTCCACCTATACCACCTGCTCTCCTTCTTCCCTTCTGCCCACCCCCAGAAAAAAAATGAAATTGAGAAAAACTAGCAACATCATGACCCTGTGTGCCATAGGATGAGATTACACAGCACGTAATTTCTTCTTGTTTTGCTGGTATCCATGAGTTGTAATTCCTCTTGCCAATACACCTACCCTAATGTATTTCAAGCCGACGTCTTCTGACAGATCTGGTGGTTATTCTTGGAAATCAGACCCTTAGGAGGGAATTTATCCAACTGGTCTGAGAAAATTTTCTTCTCCAAATTTAGTCCTAGAGAGCCACCTGCTGGTTAGTTTTGGAATTACCACCTTATTATTGCCGTTTCTGGTGGAGAGAGGAAGGTGCTGGTTCGGACGCACCCACCTACACTAAGACGTATTCAATCCACCCTCACTGCTTTTCCCACCCCATTTGCCAGTTTTCAAAACTAAATTCTCTTCTATGTTTAGGTATATATAGAATCAACTTGTGAGGTTTATCATGAAAACTGGGAAGGAATTCATGAAACGGAAGCATTCAACAGTGTGCTGAGCACCGTATTCACAGGATTCTTTTAAGAATTCATTGTATAAAATAACCAGAGTCATCTTTTTCCAGTTGTCTTCTGTATTGTCCTAACCCTGGTCGACACCACCTTCCTCCAGAAAAGTACTATGCTCCAATAAGTTTGGGGCAAAATGCTGCATGTTAAATTCTCCTTTAGGAGGTTCAGAAAGCAAATCTTTATTTTTCAGACTCTGAGATGTCCTGTAGTAAAAGATCTGTTTAGTCTTGCTTAAATCAGAGCTCTGCAAATTTATTTGAAACATGCAGTCTCGTCTCTCCTTCTTTATATAAACAAACATTAACATACCTCTAGTAAAGTGCCAGGTTTGTTCCATACAAGGGAGACTGGACGTACTCATTATCTTTATAAAAGCTACCATTTCTTGAGGATCTGCTGTGTTCCAGGTTTTGCACTAGGAACTTAACATACATGGTCTCATTTAGTCCACAAAGCAGCCACCTGAGAGTATTTTACACCCATGTGCAGCTAAGACACAGGATCTGAAGGGTTAGTGATGTGTCCAGGATCACCTGTCTAGTAAGGAGTTGAGGTTTTCATCTCTCCATCCATTCATTGATGCATTCGTTTATTTGGCAAATGTTAATTGAGCATCTACTTTATGCCAAGCACTGTGCTAGGTGATGGAGGTACACTGGGGCTACTAGACAGGCTTGTTTCTGCCCTCCTACAGCTTATAGTCGAAAGGAGAGTCACAGTCAGTAATTACACACATATGTTTAATTTCAAATTTGGTACATGTCAGGTTGAAAACAAAGTGTTTGTAGTGGAGAATGGTGAAGCAGAGCTGTTGTCGGGTTTGGGAGGATGATGACAAAGGGACTTCTTTAGAGGGGCTGCAGCATTTACCCCAAGACCTGAAGTCTGAGAAGAGACAACCATACTGAGAAGCAGGGAAAAGCATTGTCCACAGAGGGATCAACAAGTGCAAAGGCCCTGAGGTAGAAACGAGCTGGCGTGTTCAAAGAGCAGAAAGGAGGCGGTGTTGCTGGTGCACAAGGGCCTTTAGGAGACAGCGGGTGTGTCCAGCTTCACGGCGATGTTCTCCTCAAACGCCCTCACCTCCTCCTCAAAGTTAACATCTTAGGAATTTTGCTCTTAAGGAGCTCCGTTGCTCAATATTTTAGAACCTTTCTGTTGGAATTGCCTCGGAAGATAGCATCCCTTGTTTCAAAAAAAAAAAAAAAGAAAAAAATAGGCACGTATCATTGATCAGATGTGACTTTAGACAATTTTAGGAAATCAAAGAGTGGCATCAGATGTTTGTGTCACTCTGCGGGACATCTTCCGTGTTGCTTATTTGGTTCACCTGGCAACAGCTCGAGTTGGCAAGAGTGGGACTATCTTCTCCGTTTCAATGAAGGCGGAAACTGAGACCCTTGGAGGTCGAGTACTTGCTCAAGATCACATAGTCACTGGGCGGAGGGACTGACATTAGTACTTCAGTGTTCTGACTTGTAGTCCAGGGCTCGCTCTTTCTTTTATCATATGTCCTTGCCTTTGGGAGGGAGTTCTGCTCCTCCCGAAGTGTTTCCAAGACAAATACCATGTGATGGAAATAGCTCCTCCAGCGGGTTGGTTCCAGGCCATGCGATTTACATTTTTATTTTAAGGATGATAGATTCTTGGAGCAAGTGGCTACTTTGGAGGAGTTAACATTGGTTTTTCTTTCTCTTTTATAATCTATTTTTTATTGAGGTATAGTTGATTTACAATGTCGTGTTGATTTCTGCTATACAGCAAAGTGATTTAGTTACACACATACATACATTCCTTCTCACATTCTTTTCCATTATGGTTTATCACAGGGTATTGTATATAGTTCCCTGTGCTCTACAGTAGGACCTTGTTGTTTATCTATCCTATATATAATAGTTTGCATCTGCTAATCCCAAGTTTCTAATCCACCCCTCCCACCCGCCTCCCCCTTGGCAACCAAAAATGTGTTCTCTATAACACTGATTTTCAGTATTAATTCTAACACAGTCACATACATTGTATATGCAGCTGGTAAGAGAGAAGTAATAGATTAAGATCTGAGCAAATGTGAAAAGATGACAAATAAACCAGGGTCTCAAGGTCACATGTCTGTAGGGGCCAGGAGGACATGCCAGGACTGAGTGGTGGGGTCCCTAGTGGAAAATGGCAGGGAGAGTGCAGGCCTAGAAAACAGGGACATCCGCCCTTTACGGGAAGTTTGCAGTCATTCAGCTATTGACAAGCAATTCCAAATGTTCCAAGCCCTGCGCAGGCCCGAGAACAGGGCTGGGCCCAGATGGTGTCCACAGGCCAGTACCAGCTTGTGACCTTTGTGTGAACTGCAAAAATGTAAAAATAATCTCTCAATCCATCTCCTGGCTTTAAGCTTAAAAACAGTATTCCAACCAAGCCAGGAAGTTTCAGTTAACCATCATGATAGAAGCTGCAGGTGTATTCATTTCGACTTGACCCCAAGTGAATGCTGTCAGTCACTTTTCTTGAAAACTTTTAGAGTCTAAGGAGCTACCGTTGAAGGTTCAGGAAGGGCTTTGCACTTGATTGAAGATATGGATTTTGCATCAATATTGTTTGCATGCTGTCTACTTCCTGCAGGGAATTTTTATCAAACTGTAATAAAGATTTGCCTGGATTTTTACTTGTAGGATTCAAACCCATTAATGCAGTTTCTCTACGTTATAGCGTGTGCTTATGTGTGCGTGTGTGTGTGTTGGAAAGAGAATAGAATTCATGTCCAAAATGGCTGGGAGGCTGGAATAAATGATTTCTAGTGATTTGGGATATTTTAATATTCAAATTACTTTAATAATCATCACTGCTATTGTGTACCAGTGACTGTATGACTAGATTTTCTTATGGCTCAGATTTGAGGCTTGCAAATATCTGAATCCACGATTTCTTATGTCAGAAAGAGACTCAACCGAGGTGTGATGGAGGCCAGGGCTGTTGGTGATAATGAGGTAGAGCTTAAGGCTTAGGGGGCCAGAGGCCACTGTGAACCTTTTTTGCTAGGTCCAGTGTTTTGAACGTGTGTTGGTGGGGCAAACATGCTCCACTTAGCTGGGGTCCCATCTCCCTGTGTGTTAGGCCGGCTTGATTCACACATTTGGTTCCAGGAATGCTGTACTCTTGTGTAGGTTTTGCTTTGCTCACTTCAGAGGGCTGTTCACCTGGTCTGCAATGTGAATTCCTTTGCTTGTGGTAACGCTTATAGCCAGCAGATGGTGCTCTGTCCGCAAGAACTGGAAAACTGGCCTCCTGGCCAAATCCAGCCTGCTGTCTGTTTCTCTTCACGTTTCCTTGGAACATTCACGCCCATTCCTTACATATTAACTGGTTGCCTTTGTGCTACAGGCAGCAGAGTTAAGTATTTGCTATGACACCATACAGTCTACAAAATCTAAAATATTTCATATCTGGCCCTTTATAGAGAAAGTTTTCAGCCCTATCCTGTGTCACAAAGGGGGCTCACAGTTGCCTCGTGTGTTGCCTTCCTGGCTTCTTCATTTTTCTTGGTTTGGAACTTAAACCTGAAATAATAAAGGCTAAATGGATTTTAAGAAGTCCTGTTATACTGCAAGATTTCCTAGGTATAAATATAATATTGTCTTACTTCTGGTCCGGTTTCCAAAGTGTCCTCGCCAAAAGATTCCACAGTCCTTTGATTCCATATCATCTCCTCTAAATATTCTGGGTATAGGAGTTGAAAAAGACGAAACATTAAGGAGGAGGTTGTCCTTAACTGCTACTGGTCTGATCATAGCTCAGTGCAAAGGCCACATGCAAATGATATGTTAATCATACCATCTCTTATGACTTTCATTTGCATATCCCTGTGAGTGGCCTCTGGGAAAAAAATCCCGTGTCCTATGTTACTGATTTCCACTATAGAGAAACTTGTGACTAGCTAATCTGGTTGTGGGCTTTCTTGAAATATAACTGCCGATTTCTAAATCTTTTTTGGAAAAGATGTCACCAGCCCTCTGAAGCTTCATCGAACAGAGACTTTTCCTGCCTACCCATCTGAGCACTGATGGAACTGCCAAGAATTGCTGTGTGACATGCTTGTGATGTGTCAGGCACAGATCCACCCGGGAGGTCAGAGGATGACCCCGAGGGAAGCGCTGAAGAAAAGAAGCTACACGTCCTGGCTAACTGCGTGGTCCTTGGGAAACTCTGCAATACCATATTTTGTCTTTTTCTTTTTTTCCTTTCTTTTTTTTTCCCCTTAAAAAAACCTTAGCATAATCGAAACCTGTTCTATAGATATCGACGTTTTCTTCCCTCTTTTACAGTTGGACAGAAAGGAGTCGATGCCACAAAATGATTTTCTATTGTAGATACCATGTCCCTGGCACCTCTCTGAATCTATCCTTTTGCCGATTCTTGTGGTTTTTCCTTCTGAGTGTTTCAATTGTATGACAGTACTGACAATAAAATGGCTCTTATTTGTTATTCGTTTATACCATATTCCTCAGTTATTGATATTATGGTTCCGCTTAACTGTTGGCCATCATATTTTATTATATTCCCCATTAGGTAAATCAGTGCTTTAACTCAGTATTACCTATTATGTTAATAAATCACCTTTCCAAGCACCCTTTATATTCTTTATAGGGTTACAATTTCTCTCTCACACCATCTCCCCTCTCCCTCCTTTTTAAAAAAGCCTTTATTTTGTTTGGTGTACTTCCCCAAAACATTTTAAAATAAAAGATCATTCTTCACCCATATGGTCGTGGGATTCTGGCTGTATGGTTTTCTCTGTATCTCCAGTGTTTCTGAAGGTATGTGAATATTTGCCTTATGAGCCATGAGTGTGGTTTGGCATCGCGTTTGATGGAATCCAACCATTTATGCGTTTGTTCCCTTGTTCATTCAGCTGGTCTGTGCTAAGCATCTACTAGACAGAGTCAGGAGACAGAGAGATAAAAACAGACTCTGTCACGAGGGACCTTAAGTGCAGAGGAGTATGACAAGGAAAATAGAGACACAATTTCAATACAGAGTGACATCTGCTAAATGGACCCCGAGAGGTGATGTACTTCGAAAGAGGTGTTCACTCTATTCCCCAGGTTTTCCCACCAGGAAACTGCCAGGTGGGGATCAAGTCTTCGAGCTTCTGAGGCTAGAATTGCTATAAAACTGCATGAGAGAGCGGAGATGGTGTCTGTCTCGGTCATGACTCTCTTCCCAGTAGCGTTGCCAGATAAAATATAGGACATCCAATTAAATTTGGATTTCAGATACACAATGAATAATTATGTAAGTATAAGTGTATTGCATGGGACATAATTGTACTTAAAAATGTCCATTGTACATCTTAGATTCAAATTTGACTGGATGGTCTATATTTTTCCTTGCTAAGTTTGGCAATCCTATTTCCCAGGCCCTAGAACTGTGCCTAACACGTAGCTCATGCTTGAGAAATATGTGTTGAATGAATGGAGGAATAAACTCCTATCCTTGGGATAGAATTCTTTCTACAAGGGGAGGCAAATTAACATTGATGGTATGTTTACGTTCTCAGTGTCAGACCCGGGGCTAGCCCTTCCAAAAGGATTATTTTCACTAGGAAAAAAATAAATTTTGCTAAGTCCCCAAAAAAGGGACATTAAGAAGGTTCATTTTCATTTATGTTCCTTCCAAAAATGCATAATTTCCTAAAATGGAGATTGACCAATAAAACCCCAAAGGCCCTGCTAAAATCCCACCTGGATCTGAGTTGGTTGGGATTTCCAAGGACACTGCTGGTTAGGATGTGTTTTTCTCAGGGGTGGAGAAATATTGGGGGAGGGAGGATTAAATTCAGCTAAGAATTAATTAGTGGATTAGAGATATAGAAATGATTTAGTGCTAATGGCTTCACTGGGATGCACTTGTGTTCTATGTTCTCTGTAGCTGCTCTTCACATCCTTTTAGCTCATCCTACTTCTCCTAGATGTATATGTCTTCATCTTTAAAAAATTTGGTTTGCCACACATGTTTGATAATTTGCTCACTGTTCATTTTCCTGACTCCATCTGGCTCTTATTTATTTATTTTTCTCATCTAAAACTGCCTCATAAGAGGTTCTCCCTGATTCCCAGGGCCTTGGCAGCCAAAACGGGGGATTAAGTTGAAGAAGTAGATAAAGCAAATGGAATTAAAGAAGTAGTTATAATTTTAATGAAGTCAGAATTGCTGAAGCAAGTCTACAGCTAATGAGTGTGTGAAGAAATGTTGCTGAATGTAGTTAACGACAAACCAGAGCCTCTTTTAGGACTTCTCAGAAAAGAGACATATTGACAGAAAGGAGTTAGAGTGCTATTAGGTCAGCCCAACAGCTTCTGTTTATTGTCTCCGCTATTCTTAGAGCTTTACTTGTGTTATCTTACTTAATCCCCGCAACAGCTCCATGAGGTAAGTATAACTACTGTTCCCATTTAACAGATGAGAAACTGAGCCTTAAGGAGCTTAAATAATCTAAAAATATGCCCAAGATCTCTTAGCTCTGTTAAAAGGTAAACTGAGGCAGATGAAAAGAGTTTGAGTATCCATCTCTGGATCAGGCAGCGCCCAACCAAAAGTAGTTAGAGGTGCTCCATGAACAGGAGGTTTTTACAGAGAAGACTTGGAAGCAAAGCAAGGCAATTATTTGACTCTAGTGGTTGCCTTATCTGGGAAAGGCTAGTTGGCTGTTTGTGGTTGGTCGTTCCTAAGTTTCATTTTCTCGGATTTTCATGCACTGACTCTGGCTTACGTTTTGCTTTGCTCATGTAGGCTATCAAGGCATTAGGATCACCCCAGTCTAATGGCCTTCCTGTTTGATTATGTTAACAGCTACTAAATGGTAGACACATTTGAACCCAGGCAATCTGATTCCAGAGACTGCTGTGTAAAATCCCTTACACATGCTGCCTTAGGAGGGCAGCAAACTTTTTCTTTAAAGGGCCAGAATATAAATATTTTAGGCTCTGGGGGTCATATGGTGTCACTGTTCCTACTGTATTGCAAAAAAGAGCCATAGACAATAATACTTAAAGGAGAGGCATGGCTATGTGCCAGTAAAACTTTATTTACAAAAACAAGCCACAGGCTGGATTCGCCCACACCGTACTTGACAACCCCTCCCTACTCTAGATTGTAAGAACACCAAGTACTGTCTTTTATCAGTTTCAGGTTTTTGGTAGAAACCGTGAGAAATTTAAACACTTTAATTTCTGGCCTTAAATAAGAGAAATAGTGATTTGAAGTGGTTTTGAGTTTTCTTTTTCTAATCCCTAACGTCAGTGGTGAATATCCAAGTGTGAGAAAGGGGAACATTTCAAAGCTGTGGTGGATTTGTACACAAACCAAACTGAATTCTCAAGCACTTGCACCAACCTTGCGAATAAACAAACCTAGAGGTTAAGCGGCAGGATTCACTTAGACGTAGTTGTTTCTGTTTTAATTATATACTGAGAAAAGTGACTATTTTTTGGCAGAAGGTGTGGTTTTGTCTTCCCCTTTGCGTGCGTATTGTAGCCGGCGCTAAAAAGACCTTTTACCCAATTTAAGGCAGCATGATGCAGTAGTTATTAAAATGCTTTCCACGAAAGACTGCTTGGGTTTCTGTGATTCGTTTATTCATTTACCAAGTATTGTCTTGTCTCTGGGTATTCCAGGCTGTGTGTTAGTTGCTAAAAATACGGTGTGAATATAACCAGCAGTGTACCTTCCTTCACAGTGCCTTATCCATGACCTCAAAGTGCTTAAGCCAATTGTGCAGGAGATAGAAAAAACTAAGGAGAACGTACATTTACATAAAGAGATATTTTATGATTTTTTGGGGGGGGGGCAATCTTGACCTTTGCAGAGGGGAATACTGTACCATTAACAAAAATTTTTCCTTTCAGTCCCAGAAAAAGTAAATCCATTTTGAGATTTCCACACAAACTCAGTACTTCTCATTCATACTGAAATTTTAAGTTCTTTTGATTAAATGTTGGAGGTCAAGCTGCTCATCCTCTGATGAAAGTCAGTGCTGGCTGATTTCAAAGAGAGCTTTTGGCTCAACCTATAGGGATTTGGGTCAGCCAAGGCAAGAGCAGGTGATAATCATTTGCCTACATTTGTGCTAAAGAAAATACCGCTGCCCACATTCTACTCTCTGAGCTTGTAGTTATCAAATGTTGGCAAAAGATAACTTATTTAGCTGGTCTGGGGTGGAGCTCATGAATCTATATTTTCAATCAGCATCTCTAGGTAATTCCAATGCAGGAGGTATAAATCCCGTTTGAAGAAACCTTGAGGAGATTGAAATGGAGAGAATTCCCATCAGGTGAGATTTGTTACCTGGAGGCAGTCAGCAAGGTATTCTTAAACAAGATGCCTTCGGGGAAGTCAGCAGGCGGAGCTGGGATGCGGCCCGGCTGAGGGTACCAGTGAGATTCCGCAGGGGCGGGTGCTTACACCCAGGAAGGGGAGCTGTGTTGTGACTAAAGCTCAGGCAGTGAGGTCTATAGTGGCGTTTCCCGTGCCTCTGCAATACTTTGTTGCCATAACAACTAATAAGGAGACTCAGTTTGACCTTCTTTGTTTCTCGGAGATGCCTAAAGTGCAAGCGCTTCTCGCACTGTTGTTTTTAATAGGAAAAAGCCAGCCAGAAGCTGCTCAGGAAAGCAGAGCACAGACTGCAAAGAGCGCGCCAGGTGAAGCAGAGAGCCGGATACCCAGCTGCCGTTTTTAATGACCCGGCGCTCAGCCACTAGCCAATCAGGCTTCCCCCGCCCACCCTTCCCCCGGAGTGCTTTCCTCCTTGATGTTATTATCTTTGGCCTTTGGTAATGATGCAGTCCCCTCCTGTACTGAAGAGCAGAGGTTGCTTGGGTGGATTTAAAGATGTCGGAGAAGGGTAAGGATTACTATTTTTGCTCTGAGTTTTGACCGGACGGTGACTGCTCGTCTTTGTTGTCTCTCTGCTGTGTTTACATGTTGTGTTTATTTACTTTTTTTCCATTGGAAACCCTAGGAGGCCCAGCACTAGCTTTGCTTTTTTCAGTAGGTAGCTACCCTCCTTTGGCCTACCTAATGAGGCACACGTGGAAGGCTTCTGTAGCAAGGGTCTGTAAATGCTGGCCAAAGCCAGCCTATCCCTGCTTTCGTCAAAGTTGTATTCAAACACAGCCATGCCCATTTGTTTGTTACCTGTGGTTGCTTTTGCACAACAACTGCAGAGTTGAGTGGTGGTGTCCGGGGCCGCGTGCCCTCTACAGGCAAGGTCTGCAGAGTCCTGCTCTGTACGATCCGGGCCTTCCGGAACCAGCTGATCCTCTGGGGACCCTGGTCCTGCAGGCGTCGCTCGTCCTCAGCATCACTTGTGAAATGAATGTTCTTGGTGGAAGGGAATGCTTAGCCCTCCCCTGAGCGGGGCCTGCACCCTCTCACTGCAGGGGTCATTTTTCTGCTGTTCCTTTTGCCTGGAAAAACCTTATTTTCTTCTACTCTTGCAAAACCAACACTTTCTTTAGACATTAATTAAAACACCAGGCTCTGAGTTCCTTCCTGGGACCCCCCAGACCAGACGAAGCTGCCAGTTATAAGCTTTTAAAGTACTCAGAGCGGTTCCTGCGTAGCACTAATTACTGTTTATAGTGACATGTTCATGTGCTTATTGCATTGTCTGCCTTCTCCATGCTTCTCAAGCTCCCTGAGGGCAGGAGCTGTATCTAACTGGCTAAGCTTTGTCCCCCCAGCACCAAATAAAATA